TTTTTTAATAAAAAAATATTTTTTAAATATAAACGTAAGTTTTATAATTTGAATTTGTTTTCAAATCTACCGCCTGCTGTGGGGTATTTGTGGAGTGGAATTTTTCTTATAGCGATTGGTTCCGCCATTTTGTTGCATGTCCAATGAAAAATAGGATCAGTCTGTCTGACTCTTATTTCCAGGGACTCTACTTTATACCAACTTGGATTTCTAGGTAAACATTCGTGACTCTTTTGTAACCATAGCGACCGCGAGTTATGGTCGTTCGATTAATAGTGCTGCGAATGACAACTACGCAAGAAGATAATCAAATACGCGTAAGTCTGGGAGTCTTATTTCTGTTTACATTCAATAGTCTTTATTTTTTCCACACATGTGACTAATGGCAATGATTTTTATAAAAATATGAAGTTTTCAATTCACCGATTTTCTAACATCGTTTATCGACTTGATTTCTTGTGTAATCTAAATATTCGGTCACTTGAAAATTGCTAGCTAACATTTCGTTCGCATTGACATTTCTCATCATCGATTTCCGATTCGAATAGAATAACGCACAATTTTGCGTAATTTTTAGCAAAAGCAAATCTCAATTTAAAAGTAGTTCTATGTGAGTAACTGTATGTGTGAAGGAAAGAGGTGGATTAATTTATATTATATATAAATTATTTATATTATATTTATATTATATTTACTTTTAATAATTTTTATATTTTTTTCTTAAAGACAATCCTCTTTTAGTGTTTTTTGAATACTGATGACTTAATTTGACACATACATTAATTAATTTAAAATTGATTTTTATTTTAAAAAAATATCAAAGCTATTAACATTAAAATTACAAATTAAAATTACAGATGTTTTATACAATGTATATCATAAAGTATATTTATCAAAATTATATTGTTCCCTACATAGAATAGAAAAAGACAAAATGTTTGATAAATTTGCATCAGTTTACTTGAGTAACACCATTCAAGAAAATCTATATTCTCGCATGTCTGGTCTGCACAACCTGGATTGCATGCAATCCTAAGAAAATGCTAATCTTGGCGCAACATTACACCTCTCCCCCCATATACACAAATATATGTGTATATGGAGAGAAGGGTGTAATGTTGCGCCAAGATTAGCATTTTATATATATATATATATATATATATATACACACACACACACACACACACACACAGGGTGTCCCAAAAGTTCCACAACGGGCAAATATCTCGAAAATAAAGCATTTTTGAGAAAAATGTTTCAAATAAAAGTTGTAGGGTTTTAAGTATCACATTAAGTAGCAATATTAGTATGACCTTGGATAGCATTGTTATGGTCACGTAAAAATCACTTTAAAATTTTTTAATGAAAATCCCTATTTTTAGAGAAAGAGAATGAGTCAACGCGCTTCTTTCTCTTTACTCTATTGTAACTTTCAAGCTTTATAACTCGAAAAATACTTATTAGAAAGGAACTTTATTATAGTATTTTGGAAAGCTTTCGAGGTCAGCTACAAGAATATACAATAAAAAATAGGGGTTCCCATTAAAAAATTTTAGTGATTTTTATGTAACCTTAACAACGCTATCCAAGGTCACATTAAGAGTTACTAAATGCGCCACTTTAAACCCTACAACTTTTATTTGAAACATTTTTTTCAAAAATGCTTTATTTTTGATATCTTGCCCATTGCGGGACTTTTGGGACACCCTGTATATATAATATCCTACATTAGCAGCATTTATAAATTTTTTACTTCTTATATTGCAGATACAGCATTGTATGATTTGAACAGAAGTAATGTTGAGCGCTTTGAGATTGTTATACAGTTTTTTAGACAAGTTTAATAGTATATGGAAACGCCTATTTAAAATAACTTGTATAACAATTAGCAATAATTTCTTATTCTTAAAATATAATTACAAATTCCATTATTTACATGCAAATATTGCAACAGAGATGTTTGACATGATATATTGAAATTACTTGTAAGATTGACATTAATAGTATAGAAATAGTTTTATTATCTTGTTAATAGTTTCAAATCTTATGGCAGAGTATCAGCTATCAATTATTCATTCTATACTGTTTTAAAGTTCAGATATCTCGCGCCCAGTATTCATAACAAGACTTTATATTTGATAAAGATACTTGTGTTCTAAATCGAATTTATTTACGCGCTTTGCACGTAATTAATCACTTAATAGATAGTTATAGAAATAAATCTTTGAAATTGAATATCTTTTTTGTTTCTTTCTTCTGTTGTATCTATTTATTCAAATTTACAATATAGATTTATATAGGGATGTTCTTTATTATAACTTAGATTAAATCGCAACAGGAATTATATTGGTGCCATTGGTACCATTTTATATTGGTACATTTAATTTGCTACGGGTATTTTTTATTACATTGTATAATGAAAACAATATACAAATATATTTTTTATACAATATATTTGCTTTGCTTCCAAGTTCGCAAAATTTGCGCTGATATCCAGTTTCAAATCTTATATCAAATATCCAGTTTTTCATCTTTTGTCTAAATAAAACTAATATTTGTCAAATCACACAAATTGAAATTAAATTTGTACGATTCGACAATTTGTTTTTACGTTTATCAGAGAAATTACAAAATATTTACACATAACTTGTCCAACTTGTATTATTGCAGTGTAAATACGAAAAACATGCAACGCTGCCGGACACGGCGGCGCGTTAGTACGCCTTTCTTTTAATGATATGATTTATTATGTAAAAATGAGAGTGATAGGAAAATTTTCAAGTATCTACGTGTAGATAAAGATGAATCGCTATATAACTTTGAACCAATTGGGTGATGGAACTTTCGGTTCCGTCGTTCTTGGAGAACGTATTGACACAGGCGAAAAAGTCGCTATTAAGAGAATGAAGAGAAAGTATTATTCATGGGAAGAAGCTATGAATCTGAGAGAAGTAAAGGTATGTTTAAATTAAGTATAAATTAGGTGAATAATTGGAAAATTTTATATAGGAATCTCAAAATTTCCCTTGCAAATTTAACAGTGACGAGTGTTATTAAACTGATGTAACATTTTAATTTGTTTTATTCTATAATTTTGCTTTCTTTCTGCCCTCCCTCGATTATATTTTACAATAAAGTTAACAATCGTCCATAGATGATTTTTACTTTTCTCTTCTCTTTTCTGTTGTAGTCATTAAAAAAGCTCAGTCATGCTAATGTTGTAAAACTTAAAGAAGTTATACGGGAGAACGACGTGTTGTATTTCGTATTTGAATACATGAAAGAAAACCTCTATCAATTAATGAAGGATAGGTATGTCTACAAAAATGTTATCATTATAAAAATACTATACATGTTATTTGAAACCGGATATTATTAAAGAAAATGTTCAAATTGTAGAGACAAACTTTTTCCTGAGCCAGTAATAAGGAATATGGTATATCAAGTGTTGCAAGGCCTTGCATTTATGCATAAACATGGTTTCTTTCATCGCGATATGAAACCAGAAAATTTGTTATGTATGGGGCCCGAATTAGTAAAGATCGCTGATTTCGGACTAGCGAGAGAGATCCGATCAAGACCTCCGTATACGGACTATGTATCGACGAGATGGTAATGATACAATTTATAGCGATACAACTGCACTATTTGTGAACATAAAATAACATCGATTGCATCCGACATAATAATAATCTAATACTCATTTTAGAATTGAAGAATTAAAAAATAATTGTAAAACTGAAAAAATTAAATTTTAGATTATTGTATTGAATCTTTCAAATAAAAGTGGTCACTTTTCAAAGTAAATCTATATTTTTTTGGCAAAAATCTAATTTGGACCTTGAAACACTAATGACTATGAGTTTGACAAGTATTATTGCTTACGTGGAGTCGTTTATTATATTATTGCGTTGTAAAAAACATTTTTATAATATTCTTCATTATTACTTAGTATTGATCTTGATCAAATTCGGTAATCGGTATCAACTAATATTGTTTAAATTCTGATCTCTTAATTTTTCTAATTTGTTAATGTATATTTATACAGGTATCGAGCACCGGAAGTGTTGCTACACTCTACGACCTACAACAGTCCGATTGATATTTGGGCGGTCGGTTGTATAATGGCCGAGTTGTATACATTTAGGCCCTTGTTTCCTGGTAAAAGCGAAATAGATGAAATATTCAAAATATGTTCCGTGATCGGAACACCCGACAAAGAAGATTGGTCGGAGGGATACCAATTGGCTGCAGCCATGAATTTTAAATTCCCAAATTTTACGCGTACATCACTGGCCATTTTAATACCAAATGCCAGTGAAGAGGCGGTCATACTCATGGAAGATATGTTACAGTGGAATCCTATAAAGAGACCAACAGCACAACAATCGCTCAGGTATATACAGCTCAAATGTAAATTTAATAAATTAATAGTAGTAGTAGTAATAGTAGAACTAGAGAAGAGACTCCATCTATCATGAAGAAAAAACATATTTCTGAAACGTCTGTCAGACTTACTTAATATATTTCTGATGCATGCAAAGATTTCTAAGTAGATTCCTAACAGGGTTGGGAAGTAACGCGTTACTTATAACTTCGTTACCGTTACAATTACTTTTTTTCTGTAACTGTAACGGTAACGGCGTTACAAAATTTTTTTGTAACGAAAAAAGTAACTTTATTACATTTTTCGGTAACGAGTAACGAATGTAACAGTTACTTTTATCGTTACATTTTTCAAATTTACTCTTTATATCTACGAATTTATAGAAAAACTAACAATAAGAAAACTTTTTAATTTATATATATTTACAGCATCTAAAAATTTTTAAGAAAGCTTGTTCACAATTTATTTTAAAAATTTTTCTTATTTAAAATATCTTATTATCAAAATTATTACTTTTATTATATATTATTAAAATTATTATACTTTATATTAATAACGATATCATTATTAAAATTATATCATTTTTGTTACTTTAATGAAAAATAATGTTTAAAATTTTTAATGTTTTTTTTTTTACTGTAAATTTGTAGTATTCAATTTAATCTTATATTAGAAAAATATTGCATAAAATTTGTATTATATATAAAAAAAGTAACGGAAATTGTAACGATTCGTTACTTTTTGAGTAACGGTAACGGTATCGAGTTCCTTTTTAAAATTGGTAACGAGTAACGATAACGAGTTACTTTTTAGAAAAAAGAACTCGGTAACGGTATCGAGTTCCTTTTTAAAATTGGTAACGAGTAACGATAACGAGTTACTTTTTAGAAAAAAGAACGGTAACGATAACGAGTTACTTTTATAAAGTAACTTTCTCAACCTTGATTCCTAATAACAATGAATCTTGAGGCTGTAAGTTATGATCATCGTCATGATTGTTTTCAGGTATCCGTATTTTCAAGTTGGTGATCCGCGTATCATTAATAGCAAGAAGATTGGTGTCGTATCTCAACGAGAAATCGCTATGAATAAAATAAATCTTCCACCGCCTACGCCTAAGCAATACAATTATCCTCAGAAAAATCTCGTTAATAATTTAGTTGAATCGAGGTAAGATATACTGTGATATTTACTGTGATATAATTAAACAAAAATTCACACTTTACAATCATAATGAGTAATGTTTTACAAGCATTTTATCCATACTATAATAGTCTGCAAAAGTTCTGTATTGTGTTATTACATACACAAAATTGTAATCTAATATTTATAGAGCGCCTGAAAAAATGATCGTTGAATCGCAACAACAAACGGCAGCCTTGCCATTATTGAATTACAATAATTGTAAGCGCGACAGTAACGCTTTCAAATGGGACGAAGATTTTACTGATCTTTTGGGGTGCGTTGTACAATTTTCTTAGATTATTTTCCGTCATATGTGTGCTATATATCTTCTATTTATTCTATTTAATTCTCTTTGATTATGTACATCAGGAGCAAAATCATCCCAGAAGATTCGAGCGCGATGCTTGTCCCCGACCGAATATATAAGGAAAATCGTTCCAATTGGAACGCTAATTATCAGCAGCCTGATAACTTAAAGCATGGCAATGTAAATTGGTCGCTACCAGTGTGGAAAGAATCGCCATCGAGAATGTGGAATCAATCGAATCAGATGAAAAATTTACGCAAGGTTTCAGCGAAACAACACTACCTCAGTGTGGCTCGGTACGTCGCAGGCCAGAGCACAAATTTGCCACCCAGGTATAGAAAGTTCCGACATCTAGTCGAGAGAATTCTGATCGTGTGCACTATATTGATAATCAATTCTTGGTTCAATCGAGCATCAAATAGAATAGATTTTCCGGCCTCTTGATGAACCTGCTTGAATTTGCGCCATTTGTAAAAAACCGAGCAATTTACGCGGAGCGAGTCTATTATTCACAGATCGATTTATACTTTGATTAATATGCAATGTTGCGCCGCTGTTCAGAATTTCATTTTTATTCAATATATATTTCTTAAGCATCTCCAAGTTTATTGAGGCGATTTATCGGGTGTCTTGGATCAATTTCAATACATATCTTTTATACTTGTATCGAACTCTGTTCATTCGTTTTATCAAATATACTCAAACCAAGGACTCAGACCGATATAATATTTTGATTCGGTTTACGATTACGGCCCAATAAAATATTTAATAACTGTTCCGGTTCCAGTTTCGGTCTTTTAGTTAATAAAAAAGAATCTAAACCCTTTAAATAACAGGTTTTTTGGTTCTGATTACGGTTTTTTAAAATTCTTTTTAATACAATTAATTTAGATTAAAATTAATATTTGAAAAAGATATTTGAGTAACACACTCTATACACAATTTATAAATCAAAAACAAAAATTTAAGAAAGAAATATTCACATTAGAAACGGACATAAAACGTTTAGCGTATTAAATACGCAAAAGTGAGTGCATACAATTTATAAATACGTTAAATGACAGATTTTTATAATTGATATTGCAATGAGAGAGAGAGAGAGAGAGAGAGAGAGAGAGGAATACACTAATACACTAAATACAATTAATACAATTAATACACTAAAAGTAGCTGTAGAAAAAATGATAATTAGAGTTACAAGAAAATAGGTTTTTAATATAAAAATAGCTTTAAATCAGTGCTCGGAATTAGTCTGAACATTTCAGCCGATTTCCGTGGTATACGCCTCCTTTCCTCTCCTTACCGCGCACGCCGCAGCCGCTAGGGCCAGCGCCGCCGAGCGTTAGGAGCGACACTATCTGATTATGAATGGGTTCTTTTCCCTATTTATTAAAATTTTAAAAAATGTATTAAAATTTATTAAAATAAATTTTTATTTTTAAATTTATTAAGTGGAAATATTTCAATAGATTTTCCACGTCACCCATGAGATACTAATGCTGACGCGTTTTTTTTTTAAGTAGTTTCCCCCCGTAGACCTATTCCACTAAAGATAAAAATAATTCTTAATTTAAAAAAAATATATATAAAAGAGTATTTTCTTAATTAGTATTTTCTTAG